GTCCTGCTCATTGTCAAAAGAAACACCTTTCACTCCTGAGTGATAAGAGCCAAACGCTGCCGGCTCAGTGGCAATCCGGTGCCGTGATCTGAGCAGGTAGGCGTCTGCATGACAATCAGAAAGGAGCAAACACAACCTCTCCTCCGGGGCAGAAATGGAACAGGAGGGAAAGGTTAGATTTGCCTCCCCCCGCTAAGGTGAGTGCCCCAGATTTGCACACCCAGAAAGCAGGGAAGGTGGTGGGAGAGGAGCTGGCAACCCAGGCACACCGACACCACTCAGGCAGCGTGGGGCTCCTGAGCTGCCTCTCTTCTTCCACCCCTTGGGCCCGTGCAAGCAGGTGACACAGACCAGTGGCCTTTCTCCTGCCTTGGTGGATGGAGTCCCACCATGAAGGTGCATCCATCCAGCCTCCCACATCCCTGCCCTACGGGAGACCAATCTCCTCAGGTGGCCCAGCTCTTTTCACAGAATCACAGAATCTTCATGGTTGGAAGGGACCTTTGAGATCAAGTCCAACCACAAAAACAAACAACCCAAACCAACACACACAACCCCCACATCCACCCACAGACAGACACAACCCAACACTCTCGGGCACTAGAGCATGCCCTGAAGAGCCACGTTTACACGTTTCTTAAATCCCTCCAGGGATGGTGACTCCACCACCTCCCTGGGCAGGCTGTTCCAGGGCCTGACAACACACTCTCAGGAAAGTCATTCTTCCCAGTATCTCATCTAAACCTCCCCTGCCCCAACTTCACACCATTTCCTCTGCTCCTGGCATTATTCCCTTGGGAGAAGAGGCCAACCCCCACCTCTCTACACCCTCCTTTCAGGGAGCTGTAGAGGGCAATGAGGTCTCCCCTCAGCCTCCTCTTCTCCAAACTAAACATGCCCAGTTCCCTCAGCCTCTCCTTGTAGGACTTGTTCTCCAGACCCCTCACCAGCTCTGTTGCCCTTCTCTGGACACGCTCCAGCACCTCAATGTCCTTCTTGTCGTGAGGGGCCCAGAACTGAACATTTCGAGGTGAGATCTCACCAGTGCCCAGTCCAGAGGCACCATCACTGCCCTACTCCTGCTGGCCATGCTATTCCTGATAGAGGTTTGTAGGGGTTAGACATCCTGTGGGATGGTCACACGAGCAGCCGTGCTAAATTTGTCACACACACCCCCCCCACGTGTCCCACTCTGCCAGAAGAAAGAAGAGGCTGAAGAGATGCGTTGGCGTAATAGCCCATGCAGCTATTTTAAAAGTGCTCCCACAGCAACAAGGAGGGGGCCGTGGTGCAAACAAGAATCCTGCCTTCAGTTTCTAGAGCTGTCATACAGTCTCGCTTCGCCATTATGAAATTTAAAAAAAAAAAAAAAAAAAAGTTAATGATGAACAAGTATCCCGCTGCTTCCCATTCATTAAAAAAAAAAAAAAAAGAGAATGAAAATGGCAAATTCATTTGCTCATGCTGTTGTGTGTTCCGGAAAAGCTTTTAAGGCTTCACATTCAAGGACCTGCAGCAGGAAAAAAAAAAATTGCTATTGAAGTTTCTTGTATAATTTCAAAACATTAAGTGGGTAATTGCTTGTAAAAGCTATAAAGGGGAGAGAGAACAAGAAAAAAAATAATGTCTAATTTTAGCTCCTGTTTTTGAAATGACTTTGCTTTTGAAAGTGAATGTATTCTTTTACCAGAAAACTCAGATCAAGAAAAACATACATCTTCTGAAGTCAACTGCTCGTCCTGCTTGTAAGGACAAGAAGAGCAGTGATGCCGAGTAACCCTGAGAAAAGCAAGCAATGTGTCAGAGAAAGCTCTTGCGCTCTCTGGGCTTCCATTGCTGCTTTTCAAAAGCAATTCCTTTTCCAGCTTCCATAGAGAACCTTTATTAAACCTAACAGCTTCCAGGGAAAAATAACATTCTCTCGCAAAGAGGCACGTAGGTGATGAGTGTCTTTGGGGTTGCAAAATGAGGATGCACGATCCTGATTACTTTATTTGTGAAATCCTCTCCCTGTCTTCATGCCCTACCCAGGATTAAGTTTTGCTTGCACAGGATGCTCGTTACCGACGTTTCTCTCCCCTCATTTGTCCCCAGTGATGCAGGCATGTCGTATGTGTATGGGAATGGGAAGGCTTGCATGGAAATCTGGTGGGATCCACTGCCCAGAACAAAGCCCTGTCCTCTGGCAGTCGGGCAAGCCACAGGGCAGCCCTGTGTGCCTGCAGCAGCCCTGTAGCCCACTGGCCAAGATCACCCAGGCTCTGGCCACTGAACAGCTCTTAAAAGAGGAAGGGATGGAAGGGAGAAGAAAGGAAACCCCTTCCTGGCAGCAGAGGATGGAGATAGAGGGGCATGGGTGTGAAACACCCCTGAACGCAGGTCTGCTTTCTGGTTGTTTGTCATTGCATTGGGCTGCAGCGATCAGAGGTGGCTCTGATGTGTCCAGCTCTGCAAGCTCTTAATCCTGAGCAATAACCAGTGATGGAAGATGTTGGGAGTAGGAGGACACTCTTGTACTGTCATATCCCCCCACCTCCTCTCTTTAGTTGCTGCTGCTGCACTGACAAATATATGCCATTAGCTTCACTGCCACGCGAAAGTCGTTCATCTAAGGAGCATAATAAGATAAATGTGAGATTTTTTTCTCCCCCTTCTTGTTTCAGTCTTTTTGAGAGTTAAAAAAAAATATATATAAAAAATCTAGCCCTTCCCAACCCTGGGATATCTTAGCTGTCAGAAGCAAGCCTGTAATACTAAGCATCTGGCATAAGAAGCAAGACCTTCCCCTTGCAGCAGCATCAAGGAGCTGAAAGTGAAAAGGATTTCCCTTCAGACCCAGTTCCACAACCTCTGCACGCTGCTGAGGGTAAAATCCCTGCAAATTCTGCAAGACATTTGTAGGACAGAGTTTTCGTCACTTACCGCTGGCTGAGCTGTCACTGCTTTCCCCAGAGCTTGCTAAATCAGGAGGAGACTCGCTCAGTGCTCCCTCCCTCCCTCGATGAGAATTATATTTGAATATTAAACATCCACACGCCTTACACAAGTTCCCTGATTAACAAAGCCCTTACCCTTGCAGCAAAAGAGGCTTGATTTACAGTTTGATAAACAGGCACCTAAATTTAGGCAGGTGCTCGTGGATCCCAGCGGGATCGGGGCCTGTGCAAGCAGAAAGGCAATTTTACCTGTTCCTGAGTTTTCACTACATGCTTGGAGGTGATGTAGGTAATGACTTTTCTGCCGGATGTGTAATTAGAATGGGTACCACTGGTTACTTCAGGATTAAGATGCCGCCTGATTATTCAAGGTCACTCCAGCTGCTTCACGCGTCTTCGGGACTTAGACAGAGGTAAAACAATTGAAACGAGAGCCCTTTCTGTACAAAATCAGGCTGAAAAGTGAGAGTGGTGTCAAAAGCACAAGTTCATTAGGGCAGGACCAGGTGTAAAATGGATGTTGGAAGGGGCGTGAATTTTTATAGCAAGGTGATTTCAAAATGCTGATTCAGGGAGCGCCATCCTGCCTCATGAGGGCAAGGTCAAAAAGACCTGGAGACCATTTCAAACTCATTTAGCAATGTATATTTACATTTTATTTTCACTTCTAGCTGGGAGGCCTTGAAGGTCTCTGAAGGGCAGAGCTGGGTTGGCGACGCTTAGCTTGAGAGGACACACATAGGGCAAAGGAAACATTTCATTAGCCATCCTTCTCCAAGTGGAGAGCTTGCTATTGGAAGCAGAAGAGTTTTCTGAACAGATAGGTTTTTTCAACAGAGAATCACTCAGCTTTACCAAAGCCACCTTGCTGGAGGTTCTCCGGGGATAACCGTAGCTGTTGTGGTTCTGTACTGTCTTGGAAGAGCCAAACAAGCCTCCCCATGCTGGGAGGCTCAGCCAAACCCTCTCTCATCTATTTATTTGCCCCTTGTTTATAACCAGTTTCCTTTAAGGCGTGACCTATGGGACAGTCGCAAAGCTGGTTGACCAAGTGCTGCCATGTTCTTACCAGGATGCTGGCCTTGACTTCCAGCCCGGGGAGGGTATGGCAGTAAAGTAGCACATGTAGAGAGTGGGAGGGAAAAGAGATACTTAATATAATTTTGCCAAGGGCAGGCTTCCTTTCCTGTGACACTTAAGGATATGCCTTGAATGACTTTATTTCCATTGTCATTAGAGGATTTTGCAGCCTGATTGAGCACCACAGTTAAACCTTCCCTTGATGAAACCTCGTGAGTCTAATTTTAATCTTGTAGGCAACACGGTGTTCAGCCTAAACTGATTATGTCTTGGGACTCCTCTGGGTTGTCGGGAGGGGGAGGAGGGAGGCTGGTTGTCTTTTGTTTGATAAGAGGCAGCATTTTTTTTATGAGGTGTGTCTGTATCTTCTCAGTTTCTCTTGAGATGCCTCAGACTTAATATCCCCTTCCCACTCGTTTTCCCCAAGGGACGAAGGCACCCTGGAGATCTTTGGTGGCCACCCACAGGTGGGAGGCTGGGCCTTCGGGACTTCATTCCTTGCCAATTAGCAGTTTATTAGGGAGTTTATCGTGTCCGAGTCATTTTTGAAAAAGTCGGGAAAATTAATGTAGGAATCTGCCAGGCTTCAAAAAAAAAAAAAAAGTTTTCTGTAAATGCTTAAAATGAGGACGCCGAGGACGCGGTAGGTTGTACAAAGCTGCTGACTGCTTGCATCTTTCCCAGAGGAAAATGGCTGATCCACGGGGTTTTCTCAGGGCGCAGCTCCCCTCCGTTCTCCCCCAAGCTGCAGAAGCCTGGTGCATTTGAAAAGCTTGGAGATGCGAGCAGGGAAAAACATGTGAAAGGTTCCTCTGCCAGGAGTATGACATTTAAAGAGCGCCAGTGAGATTATTTCGGCTGCTTTTCACCCCTGCACGTATTTCTTGACTCACCGTACCCTCTGCCAGTCTCTGGCCTTTCTCAAAGTCCCGGGATCCCCTGTCCTGTCCCCAGCTCGGGATGGGCGCAGAGATACCTTACACCCATGTGAGAAACTGGAACATTTCATCCGTCCCAAATAATTAAAAGCGTGACCCAGCCAAGCCGGTTTTCACATCACCACCCATCTCATACCCTTGGTTCTCTCATTTCCAGTATGGTTCGAGCTTCACTGAAAACGGAGGTTGATTCCGTGAGGAGACCAGCCCTCAGAGCAGGTAAACTTGCACTGGGGGAAGGGAATCGCGGCAAAAAAGGATGGCAAGGAGCTTTTTTTGAGGGCTTCTTGAAGCTGGGAGCCGGCAGCTTGAGGGCGGGCTGCTGAGGCGGCGTGGGCGGGCCCAGCACTCCCGGCAGCAGATTTAAACGAGGAGTAACCGCCCTAACGGTCACTCAGTGAGGAGACCCGCCTCCAGAGCAATCAGGTCCGCACTGGGGAAGGGAATCGCGGTATCCTGGCCTGTGTCAGGAACAGTGTGGGGAGTAGGACTCGGGAGGTGCTGGTCCCCCTGGACTGGGCACTGGGGAGGCCCCACCTCGAGGGCTGTGTCCAGTTTTGGGCCCCTTCCCACAAAAAAAAGACCTTGAGGGGCTGGAGCGGGTCCAGAGAAGGGCAAGGGAGCTGGTGAGGGGTGTGGAGCACAAGTCTTGTGAGGAGAGGCTGAGGGAGCTGGGGGTGTTGAGCCTGGAGAAAAGGAGGCTGAGGGGAGACCTTCTGGCTCTCTCCAACTCCCTGAAAGGAGGGTGTAGCCAGTGGGGGTCGGTCTCTTCTCCCAAGGAACAGGCCATGGGACAAGAGGAAATGGCCTCAAGTTGCTTCAGGGGAGGTTCAGACTGGAGATCAGGAAAAATGTTTCCACAGAAGGGGTTCTACAGCCTTGGCCTGGGCTGCCCAGGGCAGTGGTTGAGGCCCCATCCCTGGAGGGATTGAAAAGCCGGGTTGACCTAGTGCTTAGAGACATGGTTTGATGATGGTTTTGATCAGAGTTAGGTGGGTGGTTGGGCTCCATGATCTTAAAGATCCCTTAATGGTTGGGCTCCATGATCTTAAAGATCCCTTCCAACCTAGAAAATTCTATGATTTTTAACCATCACTATTATGCCTTGTGGAGGTGCTCCCACTGGTATGGGGGTGCGCCCACCATTCTGTTTTCATCACCTTGAATCCACTGCAAGAAGCAGCTCAGCGAGGGGAGCACTGGTGTGGTGCTGAGCTGGCTGGGAAAGCGGCAGCAGAACAATTCCCCCTCAGAAAAGGCCACTGAAGGAAAATGAACTCGTGCACACAAAATGTGTGAATTTAGCTGAATTGTTGATTTGGGAAGGGAAACTGAGAAGCTAAAGCAGCTAACACTTGCTGCTCAGATGGCTTTTGGACTGCTAGGGGTCACGGTTCCCCTTCTGTAAAGAATTGCTTTTCAGGGCTTCTGTTTATTTCTAATATTTAAAGTGCCATACAAAGTTGTAACTGAAAGAAAATGTCCTTGGTTTTTTTTTTAGTTTGTTTTTTTTAATGTTTTATTAAACATTGTGTGGCTTTTTTGTTATTTTTTTTTCCCTCCAGAAAAGAAACCACATTGCCACAATCTGGATACCTTCCTGCCAGTCAGAAATTCTGGCCCAGAACCTCCATCACTAAACCCACAGTGCCTGAGGAAAAGCATCCCACCTGCCTGGATAGCTGACTTGAATTAAAAAGCTGCAGGTAACCAATCCACCAACAGTAGCTCACACAGAATGAACTGTGGTATTTTCACCTAAATATATTTCCAATAAGCTGACTTGAGGGGGAAAAAAAGCAGTCCAAGCCCCCAACTTCTGTGGGAACATGAATGACTGGCCGCAGCCATGAATTGAAACTGTGCTCGTGGGGAAAAAGAAAATGGAAAGCAAGCAGCAATTGCCTCCATTGGTTTGGTTTGGTTTTAATCAAACCTGAGACACTTTTAAATTCCCAGACTTCAGGAGGCTTCTGAGTAATGGGCTTCTGAAGACAGGTTTCTGAATTAAGCTAATTAGTCAAGTGACTGGCAAACGTTCATTCAGATCAACCTGTCTGGAAAAAAAAAAAGTGTTGTGGATTTAATAACTTTGTTCATGCAGAGCATAGAAATTAAACACAGCCAGCAGCAGTGCTGTGGTCGGCCTGGACCTGAGCACTGAATCGTCCTCGATGGCCCTAGGAGGTGTCCCATCCACCCCTGGACGGGCAGCAAATACCTGCCATGCCAGCCAAGCTGTCACCAGCAGGGAATCGCTGCCTGCAGTTTTCTAGTGCTTTCAGCAGTGTAGTTTCCCAGAGATTCATACAACAAGGAGCAAGTCTGTCAAGCAGGCGGGAGGTGTAGGGGGGCAATTGCTTGCTTCTCCCGTTTTCATGAGGCTCGGTGGACTTTTGATGCTGAGTTTTTGACAAGGACTGAGCGTGGTTGTGGTACAGCAGCACTGCAGGGCCTTTTAAAAGTGATCCCCCCCGAGCCTAAGCACTGGTGGATGATTTAGCATGGTGCCTTACTGGAGGGGAGGCTCCAGAGGAGGAAGTTTGAGTGGATTTGCACCAGGTGCCCGTTGTGCTAGTTCTTCAACAAGGGCTGAAAAAAGTGGCCTTGACTCATAGGAGCTATCCCCAGGCACCCAGTGGCTCCCGGCTCATGCTGCTGAGTGGGGCTGCTCTCTAGGAACGTCATCTCAGAGGAGAAAGCAGTTCCTGCCACCATTGGCACATTGGCATCCCCATGGTGTGTGACCTATGTGTGCCCTGTGGCAGATCCAGGAGACCAAAGGCGGCTCCTTCAGGCCATGGCATTCCTGAACATGGCTGAAGCTGCGCTTCACATGCTGTAAAGGGAGGGAAGGCATGTCTACAACTGCTTGGTTGGCCAAACTCCCGATGGAAATTAGTACCTGGCAGAAAAGGAGGCGGGGGTGTTGGTCGCCTGTGGGCTGAAGATGAGCCAGCAGTGTGCCCAGGTGGCCAAGAAGGCCACCAGCATCCTGGCCTGTGTCAGGAACAGCATGGGGAGTAGGACTCGGGAGGTGCTGGTCCCCCTGGACTGGGCACTGGGGAGGCCCCACCTCGAGGGCTGTGTCCAGTTTTGGGCCCCTTCCCACAAAAAAAAGACCTTGAGGGGCTGGAGCGGGTCCAGAGAAGGGCAAGGGGGCTGGTGAGGGGTGTGGAGCACAAGTCTTGTGAGGAGAGGCTGAGGGAGCTGGGGGTGTTGAGCCTGGAGAAAAGGAGGCTGAGGGGAGACCTTCTGGCTCTCTCCAACTCCCTGAAAGGAGGGTGTAGCCAGGGGGGGTCGGTCTCTTCTCCCAAGTCCCAGGTGATGGGACAAGAGGAAATGGCCTCAAGTTGGGGAGGTTCAGACTGGAGAGCAGGGAAAATGTTTCCACGGAAAGGGTTATTGCACATTGGACTGGGCTGCCCAGGGCAGTGGTTGAGGCCCCATCCCTGGAGGTGTTTAAAAGCTGGGTTGACCTAGTGCTTAGAGACATGGTTTGGTGATGGTTTTGATCAGAGTGAGGTGGATGGTTGGACTAGATGATCTTAAAGGTCCCTTCTAACCCAGACAATTCTATGATTCTGTGATTCTACCTTAGTGCTGCTGGAAAGATCTTGTCTTTCTAATTGCATATCAAGGCACCCAAGATGCTGTAGGAGCACTATTTTATACTGTGTATTGGAAAAGAAAAAGATTACAGTATTGGGAATGAGAATTCATAGGTGCCCCCCTTTTGTTAATGGACTCGTAATTCTCTTGCTGATGCATTAGCACATTAAAAAGGCATTTTCCAGGCTGTTGAAAGTGTCAGTGAAAGCCCATTTCCATCAGCTTTCTTTATAGTTTCACAGCTTCTGAAGCCCGCTGACACAGGCTCCTGCGGGCAACTGTCCGTGTCTCCCAGCCAGTTCTGTAAGGTACCATGTCTTCCAGCACGCCCTGAATGGTAAATGCAAAGGTAACCCATAACACTGTGGCTGCATCATCAACCACGAGCCAGGAGTCCAGCCCCAAGTATTGTTTGGTCCAGGATTTATCCGGATGCACGCACCCCAGCTGAAGATATTAAATGCTGTTTCCCTTACTGCTTTGGTGAGGATTTGAGCCAGGTTGTGATATACTTAATGTAAGTTATTCTTTTTGGGAGATAGGTATTGCTTATCTTCAAGAAAGGAACTGCATTAGTAAAGTAACAGAGGATTTGATTCTACTGCTGCAATGAAGCTAATAAATATTTGTCTCTGAAAGACAGAGGTGGATGTGAGGATGATAAAAGGGGTGTGCAAACCCAGAGTGACAGGTGCTGAATAAATCATGAGGAGGATCCTGGGGTTTCGTGATGGCATCAGGAAATTTAATGTCTTGCACGAGCCGTTACCTGCAAACAGAGAATAAGGTCTGTTCTGTCCCGATGATTCCCCCTGGTATGAGCACGAAGAATAGCTCCCAGCAGCCCGTCACACTTGGGACACACGCAGGATTAATAAGTGTGTCATGTTGGCCTGTACCTTACCTGCCTCATTGTGGTCTGAACCTCCAGGGGATGGGAAGGTCTTATTAATTAATTCTCGTGATTCAAGCAGCTGTAACTGATTGATAGGCAGTCCAGGGCCTGATCCTGCAGGGCGTGAGCAGACTTTTGCAAGGTGCACAGCTTTCCAAATCGCCAGCAGAGGGGAAGTACTGGATCTTATGCTGCAACATAGCCAGCAAGGGTATTTGGAAAACTAGATTTTTCTCCAGTGTAGCTAATGCAGGGCATTTGCTGTTCATCGGTGCTGCGGACTCAGCTCAGCCAAAATTCACCTTTTAAGGATGGCTGCGTGCTTGGGTTCCTCCATGGGCAACAGCATGGTCTGGGAGAAAATGATGTCAGGAGAAGCAGGGGATTTCACTGCTCAAGGATGCAAAGGGTGAATCGTCCTTCTTGGCAGGGGAGGCAGGGATGTGGCCTTTTGGCAAGGGCTTGTCTGGTCCTCTCCAACTGTTCTTTGAGCTAGGTGTGCCCTGTCCCCAGACCCGCTGCAGTGGCCAGCCTGCTTTTAACACAGGAAGCAACTCATCCCAGGATGCACGCCTGCTACACGGACAGCAGCTGACATTGTGGTCCTGTTCCTCTCTTTCAGGCAGTGTCACGGTGCTGGGTCGCACCTGGGGAACTGAGGGACCAAGTAGTGGAAAGGCAAGTGGGGCCAGCAGCTGAGGTTCAGCTGTCCCTGGACAGCAAGATCAGTAGGCGTGATGGATAGACCATTCAGTGGGTCACGGCACCTTTCCTGCTCAGTCTGAATCACCCAAGAAAGAAAGCACCCAAACAATCGGGCAATATTTTAGAATCAATGGTAACAATAGGCCCTTGTCCTACTCAGATGGCAGCTCCTGAGCTTGTTCTGCTGCTTAACCTCTCTGTTTCCAGTGGGGATGAGCTCATGTCCAGGCAGGGTGTCTCAGCCCCTGCACACACAGCTTCCCTGTGTTTTCCACCCTGGGGCACGATCCTGTCCCGGCAGCTCATGAGCAAGCCCAGAAAACGTTGGCAAAGACATTTGCTGGAGGAGCTGGTCCCATGCTGCCTGGTGCCCTGACCCAGAGCCACACACCTGGGCCATGACCATGGTGCCCTGGGATGGGCAGCGAAGTGCCCCTTGCATTGGTCAGGGCAGTGCCTGAAGTAAATATACACATATATATTTGTCTATCTAGTGTGTGAGGCAGAAGTACAAACAGCCATAAAAATGACATTTACTTATTAGCAGCAAAATTAACTTTTAGAATTGAGCAAGATCAATCCTGTCAAGCCACTCAAATTGGAGGCTTGCTTCTTGAAATGGACAATAAGGCATTTCAAGTCTAGTTGTCTTTTTGAATACTTATTTGTAGAATCACAGAATGGTTAGAGTTGGAAGGGACCTTAAAGCTCATCCAGTGCCACCCCCAGCCCTGGGCAGGGACACCTCCCACCAGACCAGGTTGCTCCAAGCCCCATCCAGCCTGGCCTTGAACCCCTCCAGGGATGGGGCAGCCACAGCTTCTCTGGGCAACCTGGACCAGGCTCTCACCACCCTCACAGCAAAGAATTTCTTTCTGGTATCTCGTCTAAATCTCCCCTCTTTCAGTTTAAAACCATTACCCCTCATCCTATGAATCCACTCCCTGATCAAGAGTCCCTCCCCATCTCTCCTGTAGCCCCCTTTAGGTACTGGAGGGGTTATAAGGTCTGCACAGAGTCTTCTCCAGCTGAACAAGCCCAGCTCTCTGAGCCTGTCTTCAGAGGAGAGGTGCATATTGAATCTTTCCTTATCCTTGTATTGTGGAGATGCCAGGAAAAAAGCCCTAGAATTAACTCTTGCACATAGATAAACTAACAAATAACATCTTTTTTTTGTCTTTAGTCAAGAGGAGAAAAGGATTTGCTTCTGTTTTTCCCTTTGCCTGTAAATGTGACAGAAGAAATGTCTTTCCAGATATGAGTCTTTTCTCCCAGGATGTATCCGCTGTGCACACGTGCCTACGTGTAGAATCTTCCTCTGGCAAAACCAGACAGTAATTCTGCCTGTCGTGCTGCCCGTCTCTAAAAATGCTGAGAGCACTTATTTCTGTTCCAGCAGTATTGCTCTGTAGGGTGTCCCCAGTGCCCCAAACAGAAGCGAGCAGCTTTAAGAAATGATGAAAGGCTTAGCTACCTGTCTGTTGGGAAAATGAACCATTAGGGCAAAATATATGGCTTCTGTTGGAGGGGTTATCTTCTCTCTCAGAAATACCTTAGGAGAGAGTTACGATATGAGGGGAGGCTCTGAACACAGGTGGCCCCAGACAGTTGCCATGGACAGGCACCACCAAAAAGGTCAAGGACCCATCAGTTGTGTCCTGAAGGCCAAGGGTTATGATCTGAGTGACCACACTACGCCACAGGGAGTAAAGTCCAAAGTAAAGGTGAGGATGGAAAGAATCCCTAATATATTTACTTCATAAGCAGTGGCAATTAGCAGGTCAAATTTTAGTGACTGAGGTCTTGGGTCAGGGTATCCCAGCAATTCAGTATTTTAATTTTTGTTTTTATTTATTTTGCAGGGGGTGTGCGTGCAGAAATACAGCTGGAAATCTTGCTGACTATCCTTCTTGCTGCAAATCCAGAACATCACTTCAGACAGCCCATATTCGCTGTGTGTTCTGCTTTATCTGGCTGAGAGGAAGGGAGTAATTCATTGTCACCTGGGTACCATGATCTCCCACCATCAGGTAAGCTTTCCTGGTGTATCAACGCGCTTTCCTATGACCTGCTTGCTCACCAGCTGGGCTGGGAGGAGTGAAAACTCCGCTCAGAGACCCTGAATGGTGGCCTGACAGCAGTGTGTAGGAGACACACCAGATAGCCTGCATCTCCAGGGCTAGGGAATGCACCTCTGACTTTAGCTCCTGATGCTCTCCTGAGAGCTACAGCTGAACGTGCAGGAGAAGTTGTGGTCCAGAGCATCCTCCCTCCTGCATCCCGGGTGGAAACGTTGAGCATCCTCTGCAGAAAACAAGCCCACTGTGCTAGGGGAGCCCTTTAGGGAGGGGGATCCTCCTCATGGATGCAGGGGAGCACCAAGAATGCCACCCCAAGTGCTGTGCACAGGCAAAGTAGGGGCTTTTTGAGCCCATGGAGCCACTGTTGTGGTTGGCAGGAGTGGAACTGGGTTACCTCTCCGAAAACATACGCAATCACCTGATAAATATAGCCAGAGAGTTTTAGATAAGTTACGGTTTACCTTCATCTGTGGTGACTGTGGTTATTTTTACTAGTCATCAAAAGAAACTGCTGGATGTAGGATTAAAGCAAAGGGATGATGTAGACACATGAATTATGAATTTTGCATCGCAAATTATTGCATAAATAGCGTGATGCACCAAATGCATCTAGGGCAAGTGTTCTCTAGTTTTGAAGGGCTGGAAATGACACCTTCTTCAGGGAAAAGAAAGTTTCTTTGTATATCCTAAAAAAAATAAATTGGGCAACTTTACCTATTCAGCATCCAATATTTCCTAATCTTTGTATACAGCTTTTGCCCCAGCAATGTGTCTGGGTTTTGGCTGCTCATCTTGAAAGGCTTAACTGGGATATGCTTAGCACAGACCTTCTGAAAAATCAATTGCCAAAACCCAGCTGTCAGGAGGGGAGCAGAGATACCCAAACCCAGGTGGTCACTTTTAGGCAGGAACATGACTTTCCTACCTCTTCACACTTCCTCATTGCTAAACATGCAGGAACTTGCAACATGGGATCATTAAAATTTCTTAACCGACTTTCATGGTTTCCACATCAGAACTTTGGTGCAAGAGACTTCCTTTTTGAAGAACTCCCAAGGCAGGAATTTGGCTACAGAGGACTACACAAGGTGAAAAGGGGAAAGGCTTGGGTAGAAGAAAAACACTGAGGAGACCTAGATTCTCAGGTCACTGGATAGCTGCATAAATAACTTTGTTTATTGTGGCTTGGGGGGGGGGCAGGCTCATCCCTTTTGGTGTTAACCCCAGCCATGCTGCTGGGACATCTACCTCTACCCCGTGCTCCACTTCTGGAAACTTTGATCTAGTTTAGATCAAAGTAGCCCAGCTACTAACATGAAATGAAATGAAATTCTCTATCTTGCACGTTATCTTTTATCTGGACTTTCACCAACCCCACCATCGCTGTGTCACTCAGAGACAAGATTATTCAGGTTTCCTGCTGGGCATCTGCAGCATCACTGCAGCACAGGAAGAAGCACACCCATAGATTGCAAATAGAGATGTTTCCGCTATGCATGGAATAGATTTGGGCATACCCAGCTGTGTAATTATGATTTCTGCTTCCTGGAAAAACATTTCTTGGGGTTTGATCACTGCTAGAAAACGGCTGTTGGTTTGTGTTCAATTCAGGGCCCGGAGATCTCTAGAACATGCCTGTTTTCTTCTTTGGCTTTATGTGGTGGGGATTTAGTGAAGAGTGACAGCCTTACTACTGGGCTGGCTGGCTGCCACCTTTTTGTGAGACCGAGAGCACTGCTTTGTTGTGTCCCCAAAATCTATTTCCACTTACTTATCCTTGCAGAAGCAATGGAGAGGCTCCCTTTTCCTTCAGTGGTGAAGTCTGGAGGGTAGAAGTTGCTCAGCCCCCCCCTTTGTTGATATTCCAGGCATAGTGTCAGACCAAGAGGTTTACTTGGGTATTTTCATGTTGGGAAATTACTCCAGTGAGGGGAAGGAGTTTTACTGGAGGTTATTTAACACCCTCAAGGTTTGTGGTTAATTTATGTCGGTTGCTTTAAATATACATAAACACTGAGTCTAAATGATGAATGGTGGTGAACAAGTAACCAGGAGACAAAATCCATAAATACTCCAGTGTTAATTTGTTTTCTAAGCCAGGAAGACAGAGGAGATACTACTTCTGTGTAACGCTTCAGTAAAACCCTGGGTGACATTCCTGAGTCACCCTCTCTCTCCTTACTGCCTGGTTGTACAGCATTCACCCTACATTATTTAGGCAAAGAAAAGATGATCCCAGCTGTGGCGTTCAACAACTTTATTAAAAAAAAAAAAGAAAGAAAAAAAGCCTGAACCATACTTTTTGGTGGCTATAGACATGTCTTTGCAGATAAAAGGAGGTGAGTCCAGCATCACCAGCCTTGGAGCACTCTATCAGGTCAGACAGATTGATTTGCAAGGCAGAATTTTGCTTGCTCATTTTGTCTGAACAATTTGCTTGGCTCGACTTTACCAATGCGGATGCCTATACACCTCAAATTTAATAAACCTTGTAAGAACTTATATCAGGGTTCAAAAAGGATTCAGTAACTCATTGAAAGATATTACGGCTCTTTTTTATACAACCGGAGCGAGAGCAGAAAGAGATTGGAAAGGTATTATAGGAGAGTGAACATTTATCTGAAACGCTATTTATATTTCATTGAATTGGCTGAAAAGGACCGCAGAAGGCCAATAATGAGTGAGGGAAGCAGGCAGGCAGGCAGCTATCCCACCATGCACAAAGGATGGTGTCTTGATGGATGATTTAATGACTCCAAGGTGTGCAGAGGGGCCGGAGACCAGGTGGAAATATTCTGCGTTCAGGGCACAGCGTGAGCGGGGAAAAAATGTGATGCGGTGCTTGACTTCTCCCTCGCTTACAGTTTGATATTCCTTGTGCTACTGGTTTTGATTCCTGCAGGGCTGGTCCTCGTGGTGAAGGCAGGAGCCACGCCTGCCTTCTCCAGGTTCAAGGCTCTTTTGGGATGAGTTAACTCCTCGGATTTGCATTGATCCCCAGCCGCTCACCTTACTGCATCCCTCAGAAGGAGCCTGATCCAGCGCTGTTGTGTTTAACCGAGTATTTTCCCCAATACCCCAATTTCTGGAATGGGTCAGAAAAATAAAAGGAAGTACAGCTCTGAGCCTGCAACCAGGAAGAGATAAATCTGTGGGATGCCCAGCCAGAGTAAGGAAGAAGAAAGAGGGAAGAAAATTGTTGTGAATGCAGAGCCGTTTGGGAGAGGCACATTTCTGCTTTATGGGGAGAAGGAAGAAGAAAGAGTGAAGAAAATTGTGGTGAATTCAGAGCCGTTTGGGAGAGGCACATTTCTGCTTTATGGGGAGAAGGAAGAAGAAAGAGTGAAGAAAATTGTGGTGAATTCAGAGCCGTTTGGGAGAGGCACGTTTCTGCTTTATGGTGAGATGGCTATGAATGGTGGTAATTAAAACCAGCTGCCCGTGTCATCTTCTCATATATATGCAAGACTAAACCAGTGATGTCAGGCATCAGCATAAAATCTGCTGCGAGTGAAAAGGTAGATGAGTGCAAATAAGCCCTCCATTAATTTTCAGTGACAGATCTGAAAGGTGAAGGGTTAAGGGCTGACCTCGTGCCTGAGTTTGGCTTGTCTGTGTAAGGCCAGACTATCAGAGATGTGGGTGCAATCTTTACTGTCTGTAACCTCAACCTCAGCTTGTTTGAGTTAGGGCATATATAGTCCTTCAAGTGCTTTGAATACATTCATACAGTCTGATTTCCCATGGAGCAAGAAAACTCTATGTGCCTGGTTGACCAGTGACTTGCTTAATTAATATTTGAAAAATCAGCTTGCGCTGCCTTTGCATATTCATCTATGGATGATGGATGCTACCCCTGCAGGGCCATTTTGCTGATGGAAACTGTCCAGGTCACCTGCAGGTCTTTTATTACTGAAGCAAATCAGTGAAATGTCTCTTTGAAAAGAGGAGAGGAAAAAAAAAATCCCCCAGTATATTTATACCACAGTATTATTGAACTGTGAAGTGCCATCAACAGTACATATGTTGTAAAGGTCCCATTTCCAAGCACAGAAGTCTCAGTACAAGCCCCAAACGATGTTTAAATAATCTCGTGAACTTTGGTACATGCTAAAAATGCCTCCGATGACATTTCGCACTGTTCCCTAACCCAAACACTGGGAATAATTATCTTTTATTGGCACATGTTCTGTGTTGAGATCAAGAGGCTGTCGAGCAGCATTTCTTTTATTTGCGTTACTGGAGGAAAGATCAAATGGAACAAACGTAATCAAACATTTATTTTTCTCCTCCTTCCGTGTCTTGGTGCTCCCCTTGTAAACACTTACAACCTGACAGCGTCTGGGGCAAACTTCTTCCCCTTTTCCACGGCTTCAACCAGTGCTAAACCGGGAACCTAATAGGGGGTTACATTTCTATCAAAACCCCAATGCAATAGCGTTGGCTCTGCGGGGAGTGATGCAGTGGAGAGGATTTTTGGCTTGCCTAGCAGGCTACTAGCTATTTATGGCAAGGCAATAATGGGAGAAAAACGCCATCACGCTGACTTGGTAATGCTTGGCTCTTACTTCTTCGGGATATAAATGAGTACCCGAACTGCAGGACAGCCCAGAGTCCTTCCCAGGCTTCCTGACTTGTATTTACAGCTGGCTCTGAGTGACTCTGTTATCCAAGTGCTCTAACTAAGCCCTTACTAATTAGTCCTTTCTCAGTAATAGCGCCACACCCTCCTGCTCCTTAATCACCAGAGTTGTTTCTTTTGTCTAGATAATAGCAAGAATTAATTCTTTAGATCTGAAAAGGCCCTCAGTTGTGCCTGCACAGCTCTAGCTGCAAAATCCATGTTGGTGAGGCTACTTCTGAATTTATAGTGTCATCTGCCTGTAGTAAGAACACAACAGCCAGGTTTGTTTTACCACATTAAAACTGATCAACGAGGGAAACATACTGTGTCACCAATAATGCAGCTGTATTTGTCACAGGTTCCCTGTTTGAAAGTTCTAAGAATCTTATGCCCACATTTTGTTATACCCAAAACTGAAGTAAGTCGTGTCAGTGATTTACATTTCCAAGAGTGCAGATATCAACAGCTCTTGCAAGCTGGGACGTTTAATTTTATTAAAGGTTGCAGAAGAAAGGATAATCATCTCAGCTACAGCTTGGCAATAGCTTGGAAAAAATTTTCAGATATGAGTGTAGGAAAATATTGGTTTAAATGCTTTCCCTGCAGCTTTGAATAACAATGAGATGGAGAGAAAATCTGAAATAGATGCATAACTTGAACTGAAAGTGATAAGGAAACTGGGGCAGAGGGAATGACTCAGTTGGCTGCGGTGCAGTGGCAAATCCACATGGGGCTTTGGAAATGTTCATCCATGCCAGTGATAATGCACCAACCGCAGAGATGATTATGACAGTCGGAGAAATTGGGAGAGCGGTAATGAAAAATAACCGATGCCACGAACCAGTGGGAACTTCAGAGTCAAAGGGCACAAAGGACGACGTTTTTGAAAATAAAAGGAAGAAAAAGGACTGAGAGGATCTTTGATCTAAAGGCTTCTTCCTGCAGGTTTTATCTCTCCAGACGCAAAAATACAAGGCTTATGTCTGTTCCCTTAAGAACTGAACAACATGTCAGAGAGGAGAGAGGGGGAGAGAAAGCCTTCCAAGATAACATTTAATCATCATAAAAATGCGTGCATGAATGTGACAAAGAAGGAAAAAAAAGGCATACATTTTAAAAATAAATATGTAAGAGAAATCTAACTGAATAGTAAAAAAAAAAAAGAAAAAGAAGAAAAAGGCTTTGAATAGTAAAAAAAAAAAAAAAAGAAAAAGAAGAAAAAGGCTGTAATGTGTGCAGTGACTTGGACAGGATAGGACAGGTACGCTGCCAGCTGATGGCCTTTCATAAGATGATTGTTCCATATTTCAAGGGATTGTCTCTCTTTTTCAACCAAGTGGTCCCTGATCCTGACAGATGACATATCGATGCTTACATGTCCTGTTTTGAGGCTTCATGCAAGTATTTGCTTTTTTTTTTTTTTCTTTTTGAAGGCTTTTTTTTCAGTGTATTTGCTATATACATAAACAGGTCTTTAGGGACCCATTATAGAAAGCAGCGTTGAGAAGAACTCCATCCTCACATCTAATTTCATGTTTCCAGTGGCAATCACATGAAAGCGTCTCTTTTGGGGAAAGGGTGAGTCTTAAATTGCATTTAAGCTCTTACTCAGAAAATCAGAAACCCCAACTCAGTTCCATAGCATTTTCACCAGGGGCAGCAACATGGGACCCTGAAACTTTACCTGTCCCCCAGCTTATTTGTCACCATTGCCCAAGCCAGTGTGCATTCGGTGTCAGCAACTAAACATGAGCTGGCAGTGCACAGTGGTAGTCCAGAAAGCCAACTGCATCCCGGGCTGCATCAAGAGAAGTGTGGCCAGCAGGTCCAGGGAGGTGATCCTGCCCCTCTGCTCTGGTGAGACCCCACCTGGAGCACTGTGTCCAGCTCTGGAGTCCTCAACACAGGAAGGACATGGACCTGTTGGAATGGGTCCAGAGTAGGGCCACAAAGATGCTCAGAGGGCTGGAGCACCTCTGCTATGAAGATAGGCTGAGAGAGCTGGAGTTCTTCAACCTGGAGAAGAGGAGGCTCCAGGGAGACCTTATAGCAGCCTTCCAGTACTTGAAGGGGGCTACAGGAGAGATGGGGAGGGACTCTTGATCAAGGAGTGGAGCGACAGAATGAGGGGTAATGGTCCCCTCATTCTATGTAAGAGATAGAGAGAGATCTATCTCTAAGAGATTTAGATGAGATAGATACCAGAAAGAAATTCTTTGCTGTGAGGGTGGTGAGACACTGGCCCAGGTTGCCCAGAGAAGCTGTGGCTGCCCCATCCCTGGAGGGGGTCAAGGCCAGGCTGGATGGGGCTTGGAGCAATGTGGTCTGGTGGGAGGTGTCCCTGCCCAGGGCAGGGGGTTGGAACTGGATGATCTTGAAGGTCCCTTCCAACTCTAACCATTCTGTGATTCCATGAAATGGAGTGTTGTTGGTCCTTCAAACTCCAGCAACCACACTCCTCTGGAAGTCAGCCGTGGGGACTGGATTTCTTCACTCACTATGCACATGCTCTGCCACCATCTGCTCTGCCTTTGTGGAAATTCAGGTTAGGTTCTGCTCGGCTTCGACTGCTTTGCCTCAAGTTTTTGGCAGCCATGCATGTGTGCAGGTTTCTCTAAGCTTTGCCTCAATTGAGAGAGGCTGGAGAGCTTGAGCTGAGAGTTACCAAGTGGGGCACATCATGGTCATTAGTCCCTGCAGCCCTCTCTGATGACCCCCAGCCAAAGCCCTCTCTTATGTGCTGTGTCCCCCATGCATCACACTTACTGTGGGAATAAGGTACCTGGCATTTAGCTCTGCAGACCCTTGTGTGTAAAACTCCCCCAGAAGCTACTCTATGATTCTATGATTCTGTGACATAATGGTCCTGTCCATCAAGCAGGGTGAGAGGAGCAAGCGCCTCGGTGTGTTCAGGCATCCTGAGAGGGAATTGCAGAGAGCTGCAGGACTTTCCTTCAGGGCAGTGTTTTCCTGAAAAGCTACAGAGAAGGCAACGTATGTCCCTCCTTGTCTGCGTACTGAACGGGGGGAGCTGCAGGTTCCCCCCATTTCCTTGGCAGGAAGCAGCAGTGTGTATGTGGAGGTGTATATGATGTGTATGGACACCTTTTTTTTATTTCTGTATTTATTATGACTAGTCCAAATTCAGCCTTGAAAAAAATTCAGTTGACCCTACATCTTCTGTCTAACAGTCCAGCCCGGGTGTCTGTGGGGCTGGGTCATTGCCAGAGCACTGAGAGGTTCCTATCTGCAAGAGGTGGGGTACTCACCACACCTCTGGCTCTACACAGTCTGCCCCTTCTTCAATGGACACCTGTAGGGAGGAAAAAAAAACGTTGGTGGCATTTTCAACTCTATTTAGGTGAGTAAAATTGAAAAAAGAAGGGAGCTGAGGAGACCAAGATGCTTGCAAGCTGTAGAGAGAACATCCCAGGCATCACCCCTGTGCTCTGTTGCTTTGCAGAGAGCAGAGCTCTGGTCTTCTGCTGCCACAGTCTTTATTTTGAGGTAGGCACCATCTCCCGAGTCACCCTTGTCCCAGGTCTGCTTCTCTAGCTCAGATGTTGTACACAAACCTAATGGAAGCAGATATGATCCGATCCCTTCGTTTGAGACAGATCTAATGGGGTTTTTACACTATTAACATCGTTTATGCACTAATTAAGAGATAACATCATGTGCTCCTTCGCTGCTGTACCAAGACAGCTTTAGGTCTTACTGTCTTAGGGACTTGGAAGTAATATAAAAACCTACTTGGCGAGAGGCAGGGCTTCCTATCTGATTTGAGTGGGAAGGAGAAAGATTTAACACCGAGGGAGATGGGGAGGGGTGTGTGTCACCTTCCCAGCTGTCCTCTAAATCTACACATGCAAATCCCTCCTTTGCCTGACCAGACTGCATATTTTAAAAGCTTTGGGGTTTCCTTTAATTGGTTTAAGAGCTTGGCAAACGCGTAAGGTATAGCAAAACCCAGCTCCGTGTTACACACGATTCTGGGTTATCTCACCACTCCTTCCACCAGCCTGAAAGGAAAGAAAATAAGCCAGCTGATTATGGGGCTCGAGCTGTATGCTTTGCAGGTTTACATGCCTGGGAGCAGCTTGGGATCTATCTATATACTTTATAAGTGCCGTTGTTTAGATTTGTATTCTGCTATAGATATAAAGCGGAAACCATTCCAAAGACCTCTCTGCTAGGAAGATTTTTCTTGCCTATTATTAGCACTCCGCTTTTGCAGCAAGAGCTCATGAGCCAATATGCAGAGTTTTTAAAGGACTTCAAAGTGTCATTGGGAACCAAGTGATATGTGTGTTAAAAAGGGTTTAATGGAGCTGCAGTCACTGTAGCACAGTGTCTTTTTATAGCAAGTTTTTGCAGCGTTAAGAAAAACATCCTGCACATTTCAGTAGGATTGGCATATGGAGAAGGTACTTTGCACTATGATTTTTTGTTTATCTGCTATTACAAAAAAAAAAAAAGAAGACTAGCATTGCTAGCTATAGGGAGAATGATAAGCAGGAACGGGTCTGCAAAACTCAGGCAACAGCTATTACCTCTATTTTGTGTTTAATTTTTTTTTTCCTTTTTTAGAAGAAAAATTCAGAAGCCAATGGCTTGGCTTAGAGGATGGAGATGTGCAGTGATTTGTATTCACATTGAAGCTTTTAACAGTCTTTTTTTTTCTTCTTCTTTTTATTTCTTTTTATTTTTTTCCCCCCAGAGCCACTGGATTACATTGTCATTATCACAAGGCACATCCGGCTTATCAAAGTTGTGGCAAACTTTCTGGGGCTGACTTTAAAAATGTCATAGGTCAGGCTCCCACAGAAAAAAAGAAGTGGTTTGCAAAAAAAACATATTAAATACTAAGGCTGAAATGATGCCTGTACAGTCACTGGATCTGCAGGAATGTCTGAGGATTCGGCAGGCAATCACTGATTTTGTTATATTCTCTGTTTTTCCTTTTACAACACCATTTACGAGTCTCCTTTAATTATGCCCAGGAAGCATGTAGGAATGCCTAATGAGACAGGCTCCTCATTGCCCTTTAGCAACCCGTGACGACACTGTGCCCACTTCTGAAAAATCCAGGCAAGGAGTGGAAAGGGAAGAGGAGTCCTCGTGTCCCACCGGAGGGGTAAGAGACTTGCCCAGGGTTATACAAAAGGGCAGAGGCAGAGGTGGGATGTAGCTTTGGCCCTCCAGTGCCCACGTCGTATCTTTATAGCCATCCTTGCATCCATAGCGTCTGGGATTTAGCTGTTTGGGCTTGTTCCACCTCTGAAGCAATGTCATTTAAATAGATTTTACTCTCTGCTTTTGCTCCAGGCTGGGGAATGACGGGTTTCTGCCTTATCTGAGGGAGCAGGAAAATAAAAGAGGCAGGGAAACCTTTAGTCGTCACGACTGCCAAAGCAGTAAAAGCTCCGGATTTTTCAAGCCTTACAGGCAGCTGGAGGCTGCAAACTAACACTCTCAGAGCTGATGAGAGGAGAGGTTCAGCTCCTGCTCCTGCCCTTACACCAGCAGCTGCCTCCTGTCCCCCTGGCTCGACTCTGGCAAAATCCCAGCCTGGGAAGCCTGTCCCTCTCACCCCCCGCAGCTCCGGCCAGAATGGCCTCTTTCTTTTATTTTTCATGCCCCGTCCTCCCGAACGGAAACCCTGGTCGAAAAATCTTACAGAAGCAGCCGGAGATACATTTGTTGGTTTTTTTTTTCTTGTCTGCAGAGGAGGGCAATGGAGCGAAGGGGCGGGGAGGAAGGGTTTGTAGGGTTGGGTTGGGTTTGTTTTTTTTTTTGTTGTTTTTGTAAGACTAGTTGTTCAGGGGAGTGTCTTACGTTATTAATGCTGAGTGGCTCCAGCAACTACTGTGGTTTAAGGTCGTTAGTCATCCGCTGCTACAGCAGGAGGACAGGGGAACGCTGAGCCAGAGCTGTTCATGCAACCCTCGTGGTCCTCCCAGGCCAGCAGGTTGGGAAGAGCTGCAAATGGGGCAGCGGGGACGCGTGGGGGTGCAGAGAGCAACCTGGGGCCGTGAGGACGTCCTCCCAGCCCACTCATGGGGTACCCACGTATATGGGACTCCCTGGGTTGTGGTGGGTGGCTGCAGTCACCCCGGATGGGGTTGCGGGGTGTGAAAAGGGCAGGGGCTGGGAGAGCTCCTGCGATGCACAAGTGTGAGATCCTCTGCGCACCCCTTGAGAGGGCAGGTGTGTGTCCCCACCTGGGGAGCAGCCCCTGCATCACGTACAGCTACACAGGCACACGGGCCTCCTTTCTCCTCGAGCTGCTACTGAGGCATGGATGCGGGATGCTCCCTGAGCATTAAGGGAATACAGGTCCACGTGCGTCCTTCCCACCTGATTTCTTCCTTTCTTTCCTTCCTTAGGATGAGGAGGTTGAGGCAAACGTTCCTTAATTTATTCTGCCTCCTCTGGCTCCCGCTTCTGCTGAAGGCTGCCTCTTCCTCCCCTCTCCCCGCTGGAAACGACCCACCGTCCCCTGAGCTCCCCTATGGGCTGTACAAAGGACACACTTGCGTTGGTATGTATTCAGGTTTTGTTTGTCTGCTCGTTTGCTACTCCACCGGTGAGCTGGGAATTGCTGTGCCCATCATAAATCACTCCTTTATCTATTTCAACAGCTGGACTGCAAAATACTCGTAGTCTTTGGTGAAATGATCGTGGAAGATATTGCAAGGCCAGCAATGGGGTCTGGAGTTATTTTATGATTTTGTTTTTGAGAGGCTGCTTCCCAAAGTTCATGTTTTTGCCCTGCGGGTAATGGCATCTAGAAAGCTGGCTTTAACACCTGTAGGTCTGGGACCTGGAAACAAGGTGTTGTGGGATCCTAGTATTTGTTAGGGTTTGCGGTGTGCTTTGCTTAACTGCAGGAAAAACACAGTTTCCTTCCCATTCCCCCAGGGCCTGCTCATTGATTTCATTGTCTGGCAAAATATTCTTTAGAATAGTTGGGCCAGAGAGCTCTGTGGGCTGGGTGGTCATCTCTGGATAGCCAAGTCACAAGGGCTGTTCCGTCACATTTTCTTCCCTTTTCGTGAGCACGTGTGTCGGTGTGTCCCCTACTGAAGTTCGGGAAGCGGGCTTTGGGAAACCCCCTCTCCTGTGACTTTGGTGACCGTGGTGATCCCCCCAGTAGCTATCACTGGGGGGTCTCCTCTAGCCTCAGCTGAGTCAATGATTCCCAAAGCAAGACCAAAGTCAGCATGAGCTGAAGGTACCTCAGCACCAGCAAAGCCCTTGGCCTGGGACTCTGTATACCCAGAGGGATGCGGGAGCTTGTATTTTTTATGTGAGCAAATATTAAATGAGGGATATCTTACACATTATCATCAAGCATTTTATTTTGTCTTCGTTTATCTTTTCAGGGCACTTTTGTGCTGTAAATATAAACTCTGTCATGGTTCTCCGTCTCTCAGACGGAAATATTTCCTTTCAGCCCAAAATGATTTTCATTGTGGCTCAAAGAATGCAATCAGAAATAATACCCCTAAGCTTGATAAGAACGGGGTGTTCTGCCTCATTTCTGAGCTGCCCCTGCAGATTTTGACACCGGGGAGGCAGGGCAAGGTTTGGTGCAGCTCCTGCCAGGGCTCAGCCACCAGCCAGAAAATGAGAGCAAGGGAGCGTTAGTGAAAAGCAGCAATGGCTGTCAGGGACTGGCCTTGTTCGGGCTGGCAGCCACACAGGCAGGGACCGAGCAGCTGCCACAGTGAGACAGGAAGTTGATGGTGGTTTTTTTGAATGACGAGATCTTTAGGCAGCTAGGGTTTTGACGGCACAGGAAAGGTGGGGGGTGTGCTCGCCTGTAAGATTTTTCCACTGGTAAAAAGGTGTGAGCGTTGTCTGCTCTTTCATTGTCTGCCCTTTTCATCCTATTGACACAGCAAGGCTCTAAATACCTACAGTGACTGCACATTGAGTTGAAGTTGTCTTGCACAAGCTCGACTGTGCTTTTTTTTCCCCTCCCAAAGGGAGGAAAGCTGCACCAGACCCGTCTCTGGGACCACCGAGCATCTCCCCAGTGTCTTTGTTCAGTGAGAGGACACCAAAAAACCTGCCTCCTGAACCAGTTACTGGCTCTGAGCTTCAGCTCCGAGCGCTCGCATGAGCTCGGGACCAAAGCAGTGAGTCCACACCTCGGCAAACCACAAGCTAAAAAGGAAGGGTGCAGAGTGTTAAAGCTGTACGGGGAGGGCTGGTGGCAGCACGCAGGCAGGCTGCTGCCTGCTAGCCCAGATGGCTGCCTCTGGGGTTTCACTGATTAGCCACTAACTCTTGAAAACACTCACAAGCCATCTGTGTCTCTTCCTTTTCCCCAAGCGGGAAAGGGAAAGCACGGAGGAGCTGGTGGTTCCGCTTGCCGTGGCGTGGAGCAGGGGTAACTAGTTCTTGTGGCTGACCTGATGACCGGCCCTCTTAGGAGCAGAAATTATGCTGAGATCAGCTTCATCTGTAGGAGGAAGAGTGTGATTTCCTTTCAACAGCTCGACCCCAGACCCCCCCTAGCTTAGTTTGCCATCCGGGAAGGCACTGGGAGAGAGCCTTGGGGAGTTCCTGTGTCTTCTTGGCCTTACAGATCAATGTGAGAAAGGCCTGCTGCCAAATGGATAGGAGATTTACTTGAAGAAATGGGCTTTTCCATTCAAGATAAATGCGTGGTCAGGTGTCTGATCTTTCCAAGTTATCTTTCCTCACCACCAATACAAACTAGGGGGTGAGGGATTGGAAAGCAGCCCTGAGGAAAGGGACTTGGGGGTTCGGGTGGACGAGAAGCTGGACATGAGCAGGCAGTGGGCAGCTGCAGCCCAGAAGGCCAATCCCATCCTGGGCTGCATCAAAAGAAGCGTTGCCAGCAGGTCCAGAGAGGGGATTCTGCCACTTTACTCTGCTCTGGTGAGACCTCCCCTGGAGTATTGTGTGCAGGTCTGGAGCCCTCAATATAAGAAGGATATAGACCTGATGGAGAGGGTCCAGAGGAGGGCCACAAGGATGATCAGGGGGATGGAGCACCTCTGCTACGAGGACAGGCTGAGGGAGCTGGGGTTGTCCAGCCTGGAGAAGAGGAGGCTCCGGGGAGACCTAATAGCGGCCTTCCAGTCCCAGGGGGGGGCCTCCAGGAAGGCTGGGGAGAACCTGTTTAGAAAGGCCTGTAGTGACAGGACGAGGGGCAATGGCTTCAAGCTGGAGGGGAACAGATTTAGACTGGAGATTAGGAGAGGGTTCTTCACTGTGAGGGTGGTGGAGCACTGGAACAGGTTGCCCAGGGAGGTGGTTGAGGCCCCTTCCCTGGAGATATTCAAGGAGAGGCTCGACGAGGCCCTGGGCAACCTGGTCTAGTTGGGGGTGTCCCTGCTGACTGCGGGGAGGTCGGACTAGATGACCCTTGGAGGTCCCTTCCGGCCTGGGCAATTCTATGATTCTATGATTCTATTTGCCTCTCTTTTCTGAGGGAAATGAGGTGGCTGCACATTGAATGGTCATCTCTGACCATCCCCGTGCACGTACCGCCTGCATGACTGAGATTGTGAAGTTAGTAGCCAATGCCAGTCGGAAAATGGATGTTCTTTCAGTTACAAAACCAAGAAAATATCTTCCATTAAGCTTTTCCACTGAAAGTATTGCACTTCTTGAAGAAATATGTATAAAATGATAAGACAGGAGAGCAAAATGCAGCTCTGGTACCTCCGCTGAATGCAATACAATTTGATTGCTTCCTTCTTCTGTTCTTCCACGCTTCCTGAGTAGGTACCACCTCCCCCAGTATATTCTGGTTTTACTGGGAAAGCCGCCGGATGCTTCAAGGGACTGCCCTGCCCTTAGCATATCCTGGGTTGGCATCTATATGTTGATAAGGAATAGGGCTGGAGGAGCACTTCTGACCTCAGGTTGTTACTTGTCTGAAAAAACAGGATGACTCTTTAATGACAAACTTAATTGTGTTAGAAAACATTTAGACAGAAGTTTTAATCAGCCTCGGTAACTATAGAAAAAGTCACATCATTTTTGCTGCATTTTCTTGAAAAATTTGGCTGCTTCATTCAGAGAAGGTCTTTTCATAATGGAATTGGTGTAAGAAGAAAGCATTTGGAAAGTGTTCCCACCTAAAAAAGGATGAAATACTGTTGCCTTTTACAATTAAGGAAAAGAGGGGGAAAGGACCTGATGATAATCAGTGCAATTCTAACCATCTCCAACCTGCTCTTAAATAGATATATGGTCTTTCTTTCGCCCTGTCACTGAAAGAGTTTTCCCAACACCTGACAGTCTCTTTGCTCCGTCAGTGTTTCCTGTGTCCCCAGGCTGGAAAAATTCCCCTTTTTCTGCATACCATGAAATTAGCTCAGGCCCTTCCTCCAGGCCTCTTGCACGCTTTGCATATATTCTTCTGCTTTTTTCTTATGGTAGATAAAGGACTTTAGGATGTTTTCCTGCATGCAAAGGCCTGTGAAACTGTTTCTCCTCGTGTAAAGGCTGTGAGTTGTTGCTCAGTGCACTGGTTTGGGAGCTGGATGCTGGGTCTGGGTCTTGTTTCTGGGTTTGTTGCTGGCTGGCAGTATGGCATAAGAGATTTATTCAGGATGATACCCAGAAACCCTTTTGTTAGCTGCAGCCTGACAATTTCAGTGGGGACATCTTGAGAACAAGATGCTGTGTATTATTCTCTTAAAGTATGAATGAGCCCTTCAGATACTCAGGTCTTTAACTTTCCCCATGTGTTAAATGAGGAAAATACAGGACAAGCAAAGTTTTACTTAAGTTAAAGTTAAGGTACCCAAAGACAGTACAGTAACACTAGTAACTTGGCACTGGTGTTAATGTTTCATCATACCCAAGATCATGTTTTTTATTTTTCTACTGTTTCTGATTCATTTTTAAAGGTTTTATTCCACACCCCCACCACCCCAAATTATGACAGAGCCCTTAAAGGCGCTTTGGAAATTGTCCTGTTATCTAGCAAAGGTGACTTCATCCAGAAGTATCTGGAGCAACCTCAGGAAAGGCAGAAGCTGCCCTGGAGGATGCAGAAAGCAGGGGAGACACTGAAAGCCAGGAGGGAACTGCTGTATTCATCTCTCTTCAACATGGTGAAGAAAGGAAATTTGGGGAATTGACTGCAGATCAGTCAGTTACACATCAATTCGTAGAAAAATCCTGCAATAGTTAATGAAACTTTATAAGAGCACCTTTCAAAAGTATATATGAGTAAGAGCCTCACTGGATTTATCAAGGAGAAGTGGTGTCAGATCAATCTAGTTTTCTTTGCTGATGGGATAATGGCATGTAGACACAGAAGATGCAGTATATGTTACAGCTTGACTTTAATAAGGCTTTTGGCACCACCTCAGCACTAATGTAATGGCTGAGAGAGATGTGACATTGATTAAGCTTCTACAGGGCAGGGTAAAACTGGTGGGTGGCCTTGATCAGAGAATAATTACTAGTGGCTCGCTACCTAAGCAGAAGGATGTACAAAATGAGGTCTTTTTTGGACCTCTGTTTTGAACATAACATCATTCCATA